CGTGCTCGTGCTCGTGCTGCGGTGTCGCCGTGTGAGGCGAGGAGGCCTCGCTGCGGCGGCAGCGCAAACATAGGCGCTCCTGAGCCGCCTGGCTTTTTAATGGTCATCTTGCCAGGGCTTTCCCCCGAGTGGAAAAGGCATTTTTCTTACCTCCGTGTGAAACCAGAGGCGGGGTTTTTTTTTTTTTTTTTTTCCTGGCTCGCCAATTCACCTGTCAGGGCTTTCCTACTTTGGGCTACTGCCACGCATATCTTTTTAGGCTTTGATCTAGACCTTAAATAAATAGTACGTGCACGTCTTTGGCAAGAGTATTACCGTTGGTAAAAGCAAAGTTTAAATTAGTAGATTAATAGCAAATCAAGTTGCTTTTCAGTTTGTCTTAGCAGTCACGTATTTACTTGCATTGTAATTTCAGGTTAAGTGTGCCTGAAAGTACACCTTTCACAGCTGTCTTGAAGTTTGCTGCAGAAGAAGTAAGTAGAAAGTGATGACGTCGGTTTTTAACTTTCTGAACATTCCTGAAAGCAAAAGCTTTTTAATTGTAAAATGCAATGGTTATTTCAGCACAAAGAATGCTCGTTAGGTACACATGAACACAAGCTTTACTGGTGTCAGTGTGGGCCTGCCAAAACTTTCAGAATCCTAAACTTAGCAATTCTTGCACAATTTACACATCAACGGCAGGTATTGACACACTTCCTGTTCTTCTTTGCGATTAAATTAAACCATTTTATATCAATAACGTAAAAATTTGTGACAGTGAACATAATTAAAAGGTACAGCTGTTAAATATTTTAAATTGCTTATGTAGAATATCCAGAAAATTCTTTAGAATTATTCAGGAAATTCTTCAACTATTCTCACAGTCAGTTCCAGTAATCTCTGTCTTTGGAAGACATACAGTTTTTTATTATAGAGGGTATTAAGGTTAGGCATAGGGGCTAGATTTAAAAAACAGACTTAAGTGAATAAGACTTGGATGATGTGTTCTTTGGCTTCTGGGTGTTTGACCTTTCACATGGAATCCAAAACCAACAGGTGCCTAAATTGCCTATATAATGTATTTGAAGAGATGTATCCTGTTTGTTTCACATTAAGCGTACAAAGACTAAGAGATGTCCATCTGGGTGTAAACAGTAAAATAAAGTGCTCAAAAGCATGATGTCTTTTTTCATCTAGTCAACAAACAGATTCAGCTGAGAGTCTGTTCTTGCAATGCCCCTTCTGTCTTTTTAGGAAAACTTGGGAAATTTTGGGTTATTGACAATTTCGTTTGTTCAGGCATTGGAATTTTAATAAATAATTAGGAAGGATAATGGACTATGTGTTTTGAGTCTCCTTATGTTGTTAGTGTTATACCACTGTGTGGCAGAAGTTCTTAGTGGAAACACAGCTTGTGGGGGGAGGTTGTGGATTGTTTGTTTGTTGTAACTTTGCTTAAACAGAACAATATACAGAATAATAAATGCTGTTAAAGATATTTGCTGATTTAATTGCTTTTTTTAAACTAGCTTTTTTTTCCCAATTATTTTTAATCTGAACTAATGCAGCTCTGCCCACACAACCCATACATAGAGACCTAGACTGAAAAGTCTAATAGACTAGTATGAGGGACCAGGAAAGATTGGAGTGGGACTGAGTAGTTGGAGACACCAGGAGTAAGGGGCCACTTCTGGTGGGAGAGTTGCCATCAAACCTGTTTTACCTACTCGTGGAACCACAGTCTTAGTCGGTGATAGGGTCCTCTGTGAAATGGATTTAGAGAAGAATTAATTACTTAAATATTCACATTAAGTAAACCATTCCTTTAGGTGATACGAGTATTTTGAGCATCTGTGGGAGTTTTGCTGTTTGACCTCAGACCGCTCTGGATCAGCACAGTTTTATAGAGTAATTGTAGCCGTGTTTTGGAGGCTTACAAGAAAGATTGAAGATATGTGATGGAATGTAAAAGAGCCCAGTGTTGTTAACGCTCACTAGAGTAATTCCACTAAATGCCTATAAAATAAACATTTTCTTTTAAAGAAAATAGAAAATACAAGGAACAATTTATTAATTACCTCCCCAAAACAGCGTGAAGCACGTTTGTATTAGCCTGTGTCAGTGTTAAATAGAAATTAATAACATGAACGTATGATTGATTTTTCAGAATATGGCACTGTTTTTAGTTGTCATTGCTGATGTGTTACTGAAGCTTTAAACATCTCTATGAGACCAGGCAGAACTAAATGCTTTGTAAACAGAGAGCAAAAAAGACTGTTAGACTCTTCCCCAGGAATGAAGCTCCTTTGATCCTCTGTGAACTGGCATTGAAAAGAACGAGAGAGAATTTTTGTCTTATATAAATGTTTTTTGTTCCTTGAACTGCATAGCTTAACATTAGCTTATGCTGCGTATTATGATTCAGATACCAGTTTCACAGTACCTTGTATGAAACATGTAAGGAAAAGATTGAACTATAGCCCTGGATTTTGGACAAAGATGTCAGTTGGTCTCCAGGGGAAGTGCATTATCTCCTCAGTGATTAAAGCTCTTGGGACAGAGAAGGATTTAAGTTTCGGCTGTTTAGCCTTAGCAACTTTCTACTGAGTTGTTTTTTAGAGCCTTAAAGTTTGGCCAAATCATAACAAGAATTCCCCTGGAACAGCAGAACTGTAGCCATGATGTAGAATGGTCATCTTATATATCAAGTTTCAGTCACGGTGCTTTGTCAAAGATTACAGTTTTCTGAATTACTTTCATTGCGCTAAACAAGATGTGTTCCCTTTTTTTTTTTCCTTGGAAAAAACTAAAATACATAACGGATTTTTTTTCTGTCATCTCTAGCACATCACAAAACGTGTTAAAATTCATTGTATGCAATGCATGATTGGCAGAGCTGGAAGTGAAAGAAAACTGGATCATTAAATGGGGAGGTCTCGAGAAGTCTCAATCATTTGTAGCAGTCTCAGCCCTTCCCATTTGACAGTGATAATTTGGATAATGCAAATTTAACTCTTCCCTTATTTTTTATTTTCTCTGTTTGTCTTACAGACTATATATAAAAAATGTAAATTGAAATGTAGACTATTGGAAACACTACTCTCAAGTTTTTATCTATTTATAGTTCTTTCCACAATTGTCACAGTTTATTGTGACTGTTAATGTTCTCATTTACAATGTGTGGTATCTATTGGGTTTTTTCCTTCATCTGGTAGAGCTACTTGGTACATATCTCAGGTGTACATTTGTACAATATTTACAAAAAACCTCTCTTAGATTTGTGAAATTATTACTGAAATAGTCATCCATTTCCATTAAAGTTAAACTTTATTCTTTCATAAACATGTATATTTTTGAAACTATTATTTTGTTATTCTAATATTACTCTCGATAGATTGGTGCTAAAATACTATGGTTTAATGCACTTATCTGCTATTCATTGCGCAAAAAAGAGATGAGCTTATTACTGTAGAGGATTTTTGTCATCGTTGTAAAAAGTGAGAAAGGAATATAATTGTTGGTATATGATTGTCATCTTTTCCTTATAGTTTGACTGTAGATATTGACAAATGTATTTCCTGGCATTGGAGAAAATGAGTTTTGTGGCAGCCTCAGTTATCAATTTATAAGGTTTTTACAGCAAACAATCTCTTTCTTTAAAGTGTGTGAGTTTGGGGCTGGATGTTACCCAATTTGGTTTCAAAGCAAGCCGGGGTTTATCTACTGAATACAGAACTTCTTTGCTACTTGAGTATCCATTTGACTTTGTATCACAGAAAGCTTGTATATTTTCAGACTGGGAAACATATGCTTAGCAGCCACAGGAAGGATTTCTGATTTAAATAGTGAACCATATTGCACCAAATTATGTGTAATTATGTATGGTATAATTACAATGGTAGTTTCCCTTTCTGTATTATACTTGTGATGATTTTCATGTGCTGAGTATATAGCCGACAACTATTGCTGTTTGGCCCAGTATTTTGGGCTAAGATAACAAAGTGGTTTATTCTCTTCTAACACAGTACAATATGAAGCAATAAGAGAATCTTAACTGGTGCTTCACTGGCTGGTTGCCACACAGTTCTCATGTGCACCTAGTGTATCTGCATCAGGTAGATTCTCCTACTGAAAAGCAAAATGACACAAAATGAGTAGAGACATCCATCCTCCTGTGAATGATCCATCCCTTTCATGCACTGGGAGATGCAAGAGACAGAGAAGAAATGAGAAGAGGCACTTAACATTCTAGAAGTTACATTTTGGGGGTTTTTTCAGATGACTTAGGATGACAGATCCAGGGTATCACTTAATTATAATGGAAACCTGCTTGTTGAAAAATAACTTAAGTATTAAGTTAAACATATATTTCCTGCTTGTTCAGGATTTTTTTTTTGTGTTTTATTCCTTTACTTTTTGAATTGGAGATGCACTCATTCTGGGAGGCAGGACTTAATATGATTGACGTTAATCCCACTGTTCAAACCTTATAAATTCATTTTCTCTTACTATGTAAAAAACAAAAAAAACCCCACAAAACCCAAACTTTTTAAAAGATTTCTCCTTAGATTGCTAAGTCAAGATTTCCAAAGTTAGCGAACTTGAGAATGAAGGCTTGCTTTCTTCAGCATATATACATTAGCTGTTATGAGATGGCATATTATTTTTTACATTCTTACTGTTAAATATGTAGCTCCTCTTTTATCAACTATATTATTCAAATCTTGCTTTGAAGACAAATTGTTACTTTCCTCATGGCCTTTCTACAATGACACTGGTATCTAACTTACTATCTTTTGCAGAAATTACTGTTTTCATGTCACCCTGCAAGATGAGGAGGTGACATGATTTACCTGCTATGGATAAAAAGCTAAGAGAGAACAAGTTAAAAAAAATTCTGCTCATTTTGTGTGTCTGGAGATAAAAAGAGCCAGTTTTTCAGTATATTAATAATTAAGTACTGTATTCAAGCATGGTTTCTGTGAGCTTTAGCTGTTGCTGTTAATGCATTAATATTTCTGCAAATCAGACCTGGAAATCTTAAGCTGAGCAATCAGAAAATGAGGAAAGCACAAGTAGTGACAGCCATTGAAAGGCATGGCTGAAGTGACTTGTTCAGCAGATGGGAGAGCTCTGCAGTTCTTCCAGGGAAGCACTCAGTGTTAGCATTCATAGTTAGCCCTTCTTCTTATGCAATATAGGGAGGAGGATGAAGTGCCTTGTGAGGAGGTTTCACTGATACTTGCTCATTGCTGAGACACCAGCCTTTTACCTTAGAGGTTGTTCATTGTGCTAAGTAATAAAGGAAGCCCAAGGAGCAACCTTCGGTCCTCATACCAACCACTGATCGACTTGCACCCGCCCTTCCCTTTCTGTCCTGTGTGGTTCAACCACATTAGATAGTGCAGGAGTTTTCTCTGGCCCTGCCTGGCTCCCTCTAGTCCTGAGAAATAATTATTTTTGGCTTCCCCATCTCAGTTCAGATCTTCTGAAATAGTTTGAAGCCTGTATGCGATGCAACCCCACCTGAGTAGGGCTTTTCATATTGTAAAACTGACCCGTATGATGCGCATGGGGGTGGGGTACCATGGAGACACGTGGTGGTGTTTGGGGGTACAAAGCCTGCTTAGGCTCCCTCTGAGGAGGGACCCAGGGCTGATGCAGTGCTGTTAGTGCTTCCTTTTGTAAGCAAATCCTAGAGTGAAGTCTCCTCTTGGAGCAGTGCGGTTGGAGAGGTCCCAGTAGAGTCAGGGAGAAAGCTAGGACATTGGTCCGAATTAACCAAGATTAGCTCAAGCTAATTCCTGTTTAACTCCTGTTAGACATAACAGGTATGCTTTTTAGAACTTCATTTCCATACATGTTTTAGGTATTCCTTTATTTAATATAATCAGAACTAATATTGCTTAACTTTGCAGATGCCCAACTTTTATATTTTATCTAATGAGTAATAATAATTGCATTTACTTAGTTGATTAGTACTGTAAATTTCTTACTCTGTATTGAGGTGTCTAATTAACTTTGACTTTAAACCTTTATTTTGCTATATCTATAAATCTAAGGGGAATCTTTTCTCATATTTTTTTTTGTACCTGAACCAGCTAAAATTATAATTGCTTTGAATATTCCCCATGTATTTTCTGCTTTAACTATGTCTTTTATGTTATTTTGTCCTATTTCCTTTAGTCTTACTCCCTTTATGTCTTAATTCCTTTAGTTCAAAGTTCCTGCAGCAACAAGTGCCATTATAACAAATGGTAAGAATATAGTTTATATATATTTTTTAATAG